AGAGCCATAAACAAAGACCAAACATAAATCAGCCACTTGTTCAGGAAACATATACAATCTTCAACTTCCACCATGTTGGAGCTATGGCAAGAAAGCTGAAAATGCAGTGAAATGAGATCTGCTAAATGATGTTGCAACATGACTGCACATAAGGCTGGGCACTATACCATAAATGCCACAATTACCATTGTACCATCCCATTATCAGTGAAAACGGTATGGTAAATTACCATATGGTAAGTCTAAATGGTAATATGGCAATACAATTTAAACATGTGGTACGATATTGGTATTGGAGGTCATTACCATTTTTACCATATGGTTACCAAATTTACCACTCATTCAAAACTTTTTCCTCTTTTTTTTTTTATTCTACAAAGTTTTCAATTGTTGCTAGTTCTCTTTTTTTTTTTATGTGTGAATGTCTTGTATAATTATATATTTGTATGCTTCGAGATGATGAAGAATGATATGGAGAAATTAAGTTTTTAAGATAATTTTAAGCTTTTAAGATTGAATTTTGAATGACTTGAATTAATTGATAATGAAGAAAATAAGTTTAAAGATGGTAATATGGTATGGTATTGGTAAAGCAAGTTTTATTACCATTAAAAACGGTTGGCAGCCATTATCAAAAAATCATCAATTGGTATGGAAGTGATAACTTTTTTTCATTATCACTTAAAACGGTTACCATCATTTGAGTGCGATACAGTTACCATACCGTACTATGCCCAGCCCTAAGTTTGCATAGTAGCAGCAAAGTGACAACAGCATTGAGCTTCACATGGGTTACAAGAAATGGCAGCAAACTTCCTCATTTTAGTCAATGTTGTAGGTAGTTAATAATTATTGTATTAAGTAAAAAAATATTATTATTTTGTGTAGCCTTCCTTTATAAAAAGGAAGGAAGAAATTGAATGAAAATTGAAAGAAAGAGAAAGCATGGTTTCTCCTCTCCGGTTGGGTGAATGTTTGCACCCTTCCATGCTTATGGCTTAATGTTTCATGTTATGTTGTGTTGTTTATGGAAGAAAATGGGTTCTGACTTCACCAAAAGAGGGAACTCTGGGTGTCTCTCCTTCTCCTTCAAGTCCTCTCTCAATCCCTCCCTTCTTACCCTCAAAAATCCAACACACTAACCAGCTATTTTCAACAGCAAAGCATAGGATTTTTGGCATGTTATGAATGAATGGGAAGCATTTTCTTTATAAGAACTACATAGCACAGAATTTTGAGTGCCCAGGAAAATACCTCTTTTCAACAAATTGTCTTTGGTAGGAAGGTGATTTAATAACAAGCACGATGCAAAAACATCTACTTTGGGAACTGTTGCATTCCTGAAAGAACAAAGATTATAAATACTCTATACTTTAAGGTATCCATGGTGGAATTAACTTTGATTGAGACAATCTAGAGCTCCCAAAACTGTTAATTTAACCTAGATAACTAACCTTAAGTCTCCTTTTTCATAATTTCTACTCCTACTTGTATTAATAAATTTGGTTTACATTTTTTTTTAACATTAGAGAGTTATTTACTTAATATTACAAAGATCTAAATCCTTGAACTTAGTCTCAAACCAAGATTTGTAAAGGGTTTTTTTAACGTATATTTTAAGAGTACATTTTTATAATAAATTTGTACAAATTTTTTTTTTTGATATTAATTTCTATGTTATTACTATATGAATGAATTTAATTAAATAATTGATAAATTAAATTTCAATTTTTTTCCTTCCATGACTCTTAACCTTTGTGCCCCAAAGGACACATAATCAAGAAAATTATTTTTAATTTAGCAAATACTAACTCAACTAAGCTTTTAATGGTATACTAGTATACAACTCAAATATCCTAGTATACAAAGGGAAAAGGGATCTTCTCAAGCTCTAACACTTGATTGAGTTGATTGAGAAATAGTGTCTACAAATAAGCAAGCAGGGTTTACACACTTAAGTTGAAACATAATTTGTAAGATTAAATTGTTGTAGCCCGTCTTATGATTCATCTTTTCAAAATCTTCACTTAGATTTATAGTCTTAGTTGGCTGATCTAGATACATACGACAACATATATATGTTATTGAATTGAACGGTTGACGGGCAGTTCACCCTGTATCTAACAAGCCAGTTGAATTGAATGACTATCTTCACCCTACAGATTGAAAAGGTGCTCCAATATAGCCAACCACATACCAGGCCAATTGGTAAGTGTCAGTATTTGGGTAACACCAAGGAAGCAACTTCTCATCCCCATACCCATTTGGAAGTTTGTACTTTGTAGTAATTTCCCTTTTTCCAAAAAAAA